CCACACCAGTGGCTGAATTCTGTTGATGATATTAGCTTTCATGAAACTCAATTTTAGGGATGGCTATGCGGTCGAGCTGTTATCGGAATGGCCTTTGTTCGGAATCGAATCTTTTAGCACTCCATAATACCCGGACATGAACATCATACAACCATGACATTGAAAGTTGAAATGGAGAGACTTTTTCTGTTAAATGGTTGATTTATATTTACGCATACACACACAGACACACACACGTACACACACAAACACACACACATACAAACACGCACACACGTAAGCACGCACACAAAAGTATTCCACATATATCCACACATATACACACACGCAAAGAAAACATAAGCTAATATGAATAATAAGCAATGCATAGATGTTATGGTACTCAAACTTATAATAGTTACGCTGTATGCTAATATATCGTATTATAAGCCCTGGACAAAAAACAAATTTGATTATAATTATGTTTGGGTACAATTGTTCAGGCAGCGTGTGTTTGTGAGTAAGTGAGTGGGCGAGTGAGTGAGTAAGTGAGTGAATTGGAGAGTAAGTGAGTGATTATGTCTGAAATTTTGGGTTAGGGAATAAGTGTGTGAGTGTGTGTGTGTGTGTGTGTGTGTGTGTGTGTGTATGTGTGTGTGTGTGTGTGTGTGTGTGTGTGTGTGTGTGTGTGTGTGTGTGTGTGTGTATGTCTGCGCGTGCGTGCGTGCATTCGTATGTGTGTGTCCAAGTGCATATTCTCAAGTGCGTACCTAATGCTCTGAATATCAAGCGACTAACTCAAGTGTCAGGACCATGCCCATCTCACTCCTGTCTCCTTGCCAGCGTCTAATACGGGCGTGGGTGTTATCCTAGATTGCAAATCGAGCGAGAACCCCAAGTGGGTGGGCTCCCTGCCGGTGAAGGTGGGCGGTGAGCGAAATTTTGAAGTAGAAAGGGACTCGCTGAAGTTCTTTGTTGGTATCAAATTGTTTGTTGTTTACATATTTCTATTTGGTATGAAACTGTTGGTTGAGGATCAAGTTCTTGGTTGATATCAAATTTAAGTTGGTATGAGAATCTTGGTTGATCTGAAGTTTTGGGTTGGTATCAATTCTTGGTTGGTATAAAGTTCCTGATTTAGAACATTTTGGTTAGTTTGAGAATCTTGTCTGAGATGAAGTTTTGTGCTGGTATCAAATATTCGGTTGATTTGAAGTTCTTGGTTGGTATCAAGATGCTGGGATGAAGTTCTCGTCTGGAAAATTCTTGGCTGATGCATCCAAATAGAAGCAGAGGGAAAGGAAATCAGTTGGACAAAGGGGGAAACGGAAGACACGTACAATCAGTCAGCCCGAGCGAGTGTGTGTGTGGGCGTGCTTGCCGTGGGGGGAAGGTGGGTCGATTTTGGGGAGAGCCGGTGGGGCGCCTATGAAT